CTATCAGATCTCAAGGCTAATTTTACTTGCAAGGCTGTTCCCAAAATGCAATCGGAGCTTACAGTAAGTATTAAGCAGCAAACTTGTGTTTTTCCAAAGTGATGAAGCTTTTGCATCTCATTGTACTAACTTAAATTGCATATCACGGCAGACATCTCAAAATACATCGTCTTCTGGGGGCTAAGCATATATTAATACATTTTGGTAGAGAGGAATATAGGCCTACTGTCATATAGGTTGTTATCGGGCATCCTTCTAATTCCCTTGAACAACCAAGATTGAACTTTTGAACTCTTTATAATTTCTATTATCTAGTCCAGTTAAAGTCCAGGGGAGGAAGCCCCATCATAGTAAAGAGTATACTAATGTGATGTGTGTAGTTCTTCATAGCCTCTTCATTTTGCTCTCAAAGTGCACGGAATTGATGGATTTTTAACAGAATGTCGAAAAAAATTCTCCCGGGGGTGCATGCCCCCGGACCCCCCTAAAGGGGCTGTGTTCCCCTTGGGGCTAAGCCCCCCTTGTTCTTGAAACCTAGTGACGCCCCTGGTTGTCATCCCCACCCAGTTGTTATATCCAGGAGACATTCGCTCGGCTATTTTTCGAGCGGCAGCCACCTCAGAGACGTGTTTATTAGGCCAGAGGCAAGAGGTGAAAAGTGTACATGCATCCTGCTACGCCACACAACCCGGCAGCAATGTGAGAACTAAGTGGAAAGTATCACAAGTTGATGAAACCTTCTGGGAGGCATCATCAATTGTATGGGCTAGGACTATGTTGCAAAAATGATGGTCTGGTACAGCCTACAAGTGTAGTGTTACAGTCATAATAAACAAGAAACTGGTTGGGTGACATTCTCGTATGGCACGTCTTAAAAGTGCAATTGGTCAGTAGTAAAAGAAATTATTGTCAAGGGTGGTCTGATACAGTATACCTCAGCATCACGACGATAATTTGACCGCTAGATGGCAACAATGTCTCAATCTATACCTTTTGGGCTGGGCAACTTTTTCCTCTTCATTTTTTTCTAAGATTCAATTATCATCAGTTTTCCCCCTTAAATAATTGACAAACACTTTCTTGAAAAAATATGACTTTTATGTGGACATTTTATATGAACTACAGCCAGTTCGGTGCATACACAAGTATATGAACATTAATATACAATTTATTTAGGTGGGTTTTATTTATTTATTCATTTGATCATTTATTTAGTAAATGAGCAACATTCTGGAGAGAATGTTCAGAAAATCTTTTATCCTCCATTCAAGCTAGCCACTTAGCCTTGATCTCACTTTGCATCGGTTCAATGAAGTGTCTCGAATCAACCAAGCAGACATACTGTATTGAGTAAGCGCCATAAAAGCCATTTATGACCTTTTACGACATGCTGGAGCACAAAGTCACACCGAGAGTCTCTCCGGTATAAAAAGTAATGTAGAGAACATTTGTAGGCATCCGTTATGTTGTGGGAATTTCGGCAAATGCTGCTGGCGTCCTTGACTTTGGCGTTCTTGACTGACGTTGGCTTCAGTTTACACTTGACCTGCGCTAATGGTGTTCATTTACCTGAGGATTGCATGTGCGACTTCACTGACGATTGCGGCGACGGTGGCGACGAGCGACACTGTATGTCGATACAACACACACTACTGAAGATAATGCATGTGTTTGTATCTACTAATGTTTGTCATGGGTTAAAACAGCACAAAAGACACATTTTTGAATCAAGGTTTGTAGATTGAGTTGGTTTACACAGGAAAGGGAACCATATTTGGTAACATAAATCAAAATGGATCCCACGCTCACCAACATGGCAACAGCTAGGAAAGGTCTAAAAGACATGAAACACCTTAGTTAGTACTGGGGTGTTTCATGTCTTAAACTGTTTTTTTTTTTTTTGTTCTGCAGGTTCCGACTATAACAGATGTCAATTTGACGAAAGCTTCTGTGACCTGATCCAGCCATCACAAGCATTAGCTCAATGGAACAGAACAATGGCGGTTGCGCCCATCCAACACGATCACACCGGCAAGCAATCAGGTTTGAGAACTTGTTTTATAAACTCTAAATAAAGTGAATGTGTGTGATTCACTCAGACGTATGTTCAATTCTTCAGCACATTTCCTGTCGCTTGTGCCTCAAAGAGGAAACGCTACCACAGCACAACTAATAAGTCCTCTGTTTAGACCTGCTGACACCTGCCAGGTAACACATTTTCAGAACCCACAATCGAGTAATAAGTGAGTACCCATTAAAACAAAACATTTTCACAATCGGCGGCAGCACTACAGTGCATGTATGTCTGATATTAACAGTCTATGCACCCTTGTACAAGTGCTGAGTTTTTGTGATACAAAAATTAAAAAAGACCAAGACCTCATTTCAAAATGTTTTCCACTATTATTGTGACCTATAATATGTACAACTCAATTTTACTCTTTTTGAGAGGCGAAGTAAAAATAAACAACTGAAATAATATAGCTTCTTCCCAAAAGAAAAAAAATGTGAAGAAAACTCGACAAGAACACCAGAACTTTAATTCGGGTTAACTTTAAAAAATAACAGCTGTTTGCTGACTCCCATCTATCATGACTTTGAATGTGACTGGTTAATTCTGGACACAGCCATGACTCCAATAATGAGACAGTGTGCACACTTGGGCAACCTTCTGAACTCCAAATTCTGTTTGTCAGTGATCCGATTAATTTGTGTGTGTACATTTTTATCACTCATTACATCTGTCCTTATTAGATGAGCTTCTACTATTACGTCTCCGCCCAACATGGAGTTCTTCAGGTTCTGATGGAGAGCGGTCCACTGTTTCACAGCACTGTGCTTTGGGAACAGTTCAATCCAGCGCAAGTGTGGCAGCGGGCTGTTGTCCGCTTTTCCAGCAACAGCACTTTTCAGGTGTGTACAAGTTTTACATTATTCTTATTCTTTCTGTTATTGATTTTTTTTAAATGTGCCTGTTTTGCCCACTTTTGTAAAACATTATCGAGAGGTAATTTTGTTTAATTTGTTTGTTTTTGTTCGAAAATTATCTAAGACCCTCTTGTATTGGCCAAAAGTACAAAGCTCAAAAATAGATATTTTGATGATTTGTTGGATGTTATTTAACATATTTTAACCCTTTCAGGGACAGCGGTTACTACACTGGACAGTTTATTATGTTATCAGGTTACAGGGTGCATGAAAGGGTTCATTTAAGTTTTTTTGTATTTTTTAATAATTCAGAAAAAACTAAAGTACGATAACCCATTTTGAAGAGAAATACAATTAAAATGATGAGCAAAAATTGTTCAATCCAAGCCACTTCCAGTTCCTCCTCCCCCATGAGGACACACACCATATACGGCAGATCATAAAGATCCAAAGTCACAGATAAAGTCTCTCCGTGGACTTTGTCACCGCATGCACGATCTCACCCCCATCAGACGTCAGGGGATGAAGCAAAAATAAATATGAACAGCTTTTAATTTTGTATCATGGAAACAAATACTGTACATTGAAATCAAATCAAAAATTAACATTGAATCGATATATTGAATTGAAAAACAGAAATACAGTGTGTGTGTGTGTGTGTGTGTGTGTGTGTGTGTGTGTGTGTGTGTGTCTGCGTCCACCAGGTGGTAATTCAAGGGACTCTTACGGCAGACAGTGATGCATCAGAGGTGCTGGCCATTGATGACATTTCCTTTAGTCCCCACTGTGTGCCATGTACTGACATTTTTAAGAACATTTTTTTTCATAGTCACACTTCAAAAACGTTACAACATGTTGCTTTTCATAGTTTTCGTTCCTAGCGTGCCCCCACCTACCAGTGGTTGCCCACCATCCTGGTTTGCCTGCGGAGGCAGTGGGCCGTGCATAGAGCGGGACAAAGTGTGCGACTTCACCCGGCATTGTCCCCACGGCGACGACGAAAGCAACTGCCGTAAGCATTTTGGTTAAATTTACATACTTGGAACAAGAATTATGAACAGTAAAAGTGTTACTTCAAGATTTGAATGCTCAAGAATTCAACTTGCGTCTTTTTCTTCAAAATCCAAACAAACTTTCCTGTTAGAAATACTTTTGAGAATGTATATATTTATCTTAAAATTGGAAAAAAAATTAAACTTTTAAATCTTTAAAAAAAGGAAAAAGTTGTATAAATGATAATAAAACATTTGTGACAAATAATATTGAAAATAAATATAAAATCACAATAAAAGAAAATTAAATGAATAAAGTCTTACAAGTTTAGTAAATATAACACTTTTAATTGTAAAAGGCATTATATGTGATGAAATAAATGTGTTCCAGAATTATCCGGATAAGAGTGGACCCCACAAACAATTATGGTACAAAAAAAGGTTTATGAACAAAACGCAAGACCGACAAAGTACAAATAACGACACTGGTCAAAACCAGGATGAAACGAGAAGAACAAAAAGTGCTTGCATAAGGCAAGGAAAATACAAACAGAATTAGTTTGTCTCAAAAGGACAAGAGGACCAAAACCCGTGAGATTCAAACCGAGAAGAAATTTACACACTGAGAACACTACTAATACTAATACGGAGCAAAATATGGAACAACTAGAAAACTGCAACTTGAACGAAGGCTTGAGCAAGGTGAACTCTCCAACCCTGAATGGTTGGAGTGAGAGTCCTTACCCCTTTCAGGGACAGCGGTTACTACAGTGGACAGCTTCTGATGTGATCAGGTCACAAGTTACCATTATTGGTGCATGATGTGATCATGATGAGTGAATAATGAGAGACAGGTGCACAGCTGGAATGAATCAGTCCACCTCTGCCAACCTCATGCGTACTGAACTGGTTGCCAGCCAAGTGCAGGGCACACATTGATGAACAACCATTCGTGCTCACAATCACACCTAGGGAGGATTTAGAGCAAGGCTGTCAAACTGATTTTTTTGACGCGGGCCACTTCGGAGTTACGGCTTCCCTCGGGGTGCCGGTGCAAAATCTCAATGTTATTTATTACCCATGACATTTTGACATTTCGGAACAGATTTCAGCAAGAATCATGATTGTTGACACACATCATTTGCTCCCGCGGGCCACATGAAATGACGTGAGGGCCAAATCTGGCCCCCAGACCTTGACTTTGACACCTGTGGTATAGAGTGTTCCGTTAACCTCCAAGGCATGTTTTTGAACTGTGGGAGTGAATCCAAGTATCCAGAGAAAGCCCACGCAGGCACGGGGAAAACTTCATACAGGAAGGCCGGAGCCAGAATCAAACCCTGCACCTCTGCACTGCGAGGCGAATTGGCTAACCAGTCATCACTGTGCCGCCCAGATTCAAACTGACATAATAAAATTAAAAAGACTATAAAATTCAGCAAACTTGGAATTTAAAAAAAAAAAAAAAAAAAACATTCTGTATTATGACTGTTTTTTGATCAATATTGTCAGATTGGTAATTTTTTATTATTATTATCGTTACCTTGCATCATGAAAATATCCTTTATACCTTTGTCCAGCCTCCGAGTGCGACTTTGAGGGTGGCTCCTGCGGCTGGTACGAACACACTCTTGGTGACGGTTTCGACTGGGTCAGGGGCTCGTCCTCGGATGTACCGCCAGAGTATTATGGTCGGCCACCCCCTCCGGACCACTCCAGTAACAGCACGGAGGGTACGAGCGTATCCCTGAGAACTAAATAGTCCGCCATATGTTGTTTTCGTCCCTGTCTGCTCTGTTTTCTGATATGCATTTTGGTCCCATGAGCTTGTTGAGTGGCAGTCTTACTGACATGACACATTTCCTGAGGGTAACATCTGCTTGCATATCATGAAATGTGGTTTGCACTGGGATACTATTCGGTTTTGTTCAGATTCCATGCGATACAGATTTGAAGTTCTTAGTAACAGTGGAACACATTGTGCCACTTATTGTACAGGAAATAGGTCAGGTCTCGGAACAGAATCTTGAGGAACACCAAATTAATGATATTCAGGGGTCTCTTTGTAAGATGAATTGTTGCTCCATTACAGGTCACTTTATGTTCATACTGAAGAACAGCAGCAGTCTTTATCCAAGGGCGGTTCTCAGAGGACCGTGGTTCCAGCAGTCGGCTTCCGGGTGCACTATGACCTTCTGGTGAGGCAAAGCTCTAGCTTCCTTGTCTTTTGCCAGATTTCATTCACTATCTCCTCCCTTCAGGCATTACAACTCAGGCATATCAGTCGGGGCCGCCGACATGTACCTACGCATCCAAGGAGTCCAAAACAACACCATCATATGGAGGACTTTCTACGACCAGGGAAACCGCTGGAATCGGGTCAGTGTACAACTAGGTCGAATCACCCGGCCCTTCCAGATCGCACTGGCTAAAATCAGCCTTGGCGTTTTCGACGGTATCTCCGCGCTGGACGACGTGTCTTTCCACAACTGCTCCATGCCACCCGCCGCCGCCGAGTGCCCGCCGCACACACACTTCCACTGTACACGCACCAGGGCGTGCGTGGAGCGGCTGCTGCTCTGCGACCTGGTGGACGACTGCGGGGACGGTTCAGATGAAGAGGGCTGCCGTGAGTGAGATTTTTCATCCTAAAATGTTGCCTTTTCTTGGGAGATATCATGAGAAGACCCACGATTCGCCTGAAAAGAATCAGCCATTTCGGTCTGAAGCAGCCATTTTGGTGGCAGCCATTTCAAGACGGCCCACATAAATGAACTACCCCACCAGATTTTATCCCTGCTATTTCCCACTCATCATCCATCCATCCATCCATTCAGATTATAAACTTTATTAACCAAACACAGTTCAGTTGGTAATAATTGATTCCATCCATTGCTATTATTTATTTACATTTTTGGGGTTGTAATTTGTCACAGTACCCGAGCTGCAGTGCAACTTTGAGCAAGGTCTGTGCAGCTGGAAACAGGAGCAAAACGGCGCCGGCGACATTTTCGACTGGACCCGCATTCGAGGCCCCACCCCATCGTTCAACACGGGGCCCTGGAAGGACCACACACTAGGCACCAGTTACGGCCACTACCTCTACATCGAGTCGTCCGTCCCCCAGGAGTTCAGGGACACGGCGGTGCTGCTGAGCCCGGCCTTCGAGCCCACCCATCGACGCGGCGTGAAACCCTTCAACACCCGCCAACCGTGCGTGTTCCGCTTCCACTACCACATGTTTGGCTCGCACGTGTTCTGCCTGGCCATCTATCTCAGGACCACATCGACGGGCCGCGGCCAGTTGCTGTGGGTCGGATATGCCGACCAGGGCAATATTTGGCACAGGAAGACTCTTTACCTCACCAGCGCTCGACCTTTCCAGGTAATATTCCTCATGTGAAATTTAGCAATTGGCTCCTTGTTAGAGAACAGAGTTAGACAAAAAGTTTATAGACGGACCGATTATGTTCACCTGTAAAGGTTAGAAGTGTTTTCAAGGTTCACCTGGAAGCAGAGTACCGCTAACTTTTTGCAAATCGTATCAACACAGAAAGTGGTCCTCCAGAGTTCCGGAGTTCCAATACTAATCTCTATGTAACAAGTTCAACATCGATCTCTCTGTGATGGATGATGCTGTAATTCATGAGCGAATATAACCTCACAGGCACTTAAAGATTTCTCCTTCATCAGGGTTAGTATTATTGATAACAGGAAGTCCTTTTTTTTTAATTCATTTATTTACTCCACAGCTAATCCATTCCACACTGATATACATCAGTGCATGCATTTAGATGGGTGGACAAGATGGAATATAAATAGCTGGTTGTGGATATTTTGCCTGCAGGATCTGTGCAATAGAGCGCATACTGTATGTCTTACCGTATTACATGAATCATTTCGGTCTAGCTCTTCCCAACCTATTCTTTCCCCTCCACCTAAAAAAAACCAACCAAACAAACAAAAATCAATAATAATATTTAATAATGATCATCATAATCATCATCGTCATAATAATAATAATAACAAGAATCATATAAAAGTCTTATTTTCAAACCAAAGCCAAATTGAAGTTTTCACAACCTCTTAAATGTTAAGGATGGACTCTAGTTTAGTCATGTTTTGCTTTCCGGGTGTTTTCTTCTACATTGTTGCCCACATCTAAAATGTTGTGTTTTTGTCCCTGTGGCTAGATTGTAATTGAAGGTACAGTTGGAGATGATTTCAACGGGGACATCGCCATCGACGACCTCTCCTTCCTGGGCTGCGTGCCACATGAAGGTACGCATGCGCCTGTGAGGTCAGCGTATGTGTTCCGACTGAACATTAAAGATGTGTGCCACTTGTTAACAAAGGTGAGCTCCCCAAGGCGAACAACACTGACCCCACGGGGACCACGCCGACGCCATCGGTTCAGCCCCATCGTTGCCCCCAAGGGGAGTTTGCATGCGGTTCGGTTGGGGAGTGCGTTACCCCCGAAAAAGTGTGCGACTTCAGGCTCGACTGCTCGGATGGCTCAGATGAAAGCGACTGTGGTAAAAATGGAAAAAAAAACCCAGACACTTTTTAAAATCAAGTTCTTGTCTGTTCATTGACCTAACCCCTTAAACCTAATTAATTGACCTTCATAACTCTACTCCTAATCCTAACCCGAACCATAACCAAACCCTAACTCTAATTTCCTTGCTTTTTTATGCAGTGGCTGAGGAGTGTGATTTTGAAGATGGTAAAACATGCGGTTGGGAGACTATTGTCCCGGCCCCAGTGTCTATGCATGCATTTCGCTGGTCCCCCGACCGAGGGGAGAGCATTCATGCCGGAGAGCAGTATCATCGTCCTGTCACCGACCACACCCTGTGAGCAACACCAAATTTATATTTTTTAATCTACATTGTCGTAATTATTTTTCATGTTTTGCCTTTTCTTCACCATTGAAAACCTTTCCCGGGTGTCTTACAAAAAGTCTCTGACATTCTTTTGTTGAAATGAAAAAGAATGACACCTCAGTGAGCATCCACTTAAAACATCTATGTTGCAATAACTTGGTTCTGTGGGTGCTGTTCTGTTACATGCAAATGAGCCACTGCTCACCACGCCCACCTTTACCATGCAAAGTATATGTACCTGTATATACAGCATAATATAAACATATACATCCATATGTCAATGTATGTTGTACTGTACAGAGCGTGTGTGTGTGTGTGTGTGTGTGTGTGTGTGTGTGTGTGTGTGTGTGTGTGTGTGTGTGCGTGCGTGCGTGCGTGCGTGCGTGCGTGCGTGTGTGTGTGCGCGTGTGTGTTGGTGTGAGACAATCACAGGAGATGTCTAGACATCATTTATTGTTTTCCAAAAAGCCGCACATAAGCAGATATGACCCTTTTGGGGGGCTCTTGACAGGCAGAAGGGTGGGATAGTATGTTACGTTCTATGCATCTTCAAGTCTGGATCATGTGGCCAGACTTGGGGGGAAAAAAAAACAAAAACAACCCCCCAAAAAACCCCATCCCTTGTAATGTTCAGGGAGCCGGGCAAAATGCAGAGGCAGGCCACATTCGTCCCACGGGCCGTAGTTTTGGGACCACTGATTTACAGTATTCCAGTAACTTGCCATGCATATTTTCGGAATGTGGGAGGAAACCGGAGTACCCAGAGAAAACCCACGCAGGCCCGGGGAGAACATGCAAACTCCACACAGGAAGGCCGGAGCCGGAATCGAACCCGGTACCTCTGCACTGTGAGGTCGACGTGCTAACCAGTCAACCACCGCCCATTTTATATGTATTTATAAAGATAGATGTCTCAGTGCTTTATTTTATGTATTGAAAATTGCTCTAGCGATTATCTGTCGATTATCCAAAACGAAGGGCTAACTCACCACTTCAATCATTTCTGGTCCCAGGGGCAGCCCTCACGGTTGGTACATGTGCGCTGACAGTTCTAACGGCGGCTACGGCCACGTCACCGACCTCCAGACGCCCCTTATTGCATCCACCGGGCCACATTGCATCCTGGTCTTCTGGTACCACATGGGCGGATTTACCGTGGGCTCACTACAAGTAAGTACAGAGAGCCCTGTCATAAGTCGCAGTTCCACCTGTCAGCATCTGCAGTTGTCCCTGATCTCTTTTGCAGCTTTTGCTGAGGCGTGGAAACATCACTCATGAGGTTTGGTCTCAGACTGGTAACCAAGGCAACAAGTGGAGACGTGGTGAAGTGTTCTTGGGGCTGTCAAATGACATTCAGGTTTGGAAATGCTTTCATTCTAATATGGTGTTTGATTCATTCATTTTATTAATTCCTGAAAATCTTGCCCTCCACTACAACGGTGTCATTGCATCTATAAATGTCTGTTGGTGAGGAGTTTCTCATTTGACAGCAAGTCATTAAAATCGCCCATATGTCTAAATTTCTTGTTAAATTTGTTAGCATGGGACAAAAGCTGTAGGAGTAGCTAATCTATGAAGGCGATGAAAGTGTCCACAAATTACCCTAAAATGGCCACTTCAAACCAAAATCACAGACTTCCTGTGTCTTTTCAGGCACGAGTTCTTGAGACTTTTTTGTAGTTCTACTCAGAATAGACTTTTTTACCAAATTTCATGTTGCCATGTAAAACTTTTTTGGGGGACTGAATTGAAGATTCTGCTTGGCCTTGGGCTGTTGTTTCATGGTCTGTGGTGAGTCTTTTGTTTCTACCACACGCAATAAGAAAAATTATTAATTCTCCAAATGCACCCACATGGTCAGTATGCACAGTTCAAATTTGACAGCAATTGGAACTCTATTTATAGAACAGGTCGATCGTTGAAGGACCCCCAGAAATGGCCAAATAATGGCCACATTGAACACAAAATGGCAGACTTCCTTTGTGTTTTTTTAAAGACCTTGTTGTGGTTCTACTTCGGACAAATATGGATCCCTAATTTCTTCCCCTTCTTCGAGTTAATTCATACTGTATATCTGGCAGCAAATGGACACAACCCGATGGAGTTGATGTTGTTCGAGACCCCCCCCCCCCCAAATGGTCAAAATGAACCGAAAATAGCTACTTGAAAGCAAAATGGCAGACTTCCTGTGTCTTTTCAGGAATGGGTTCTTGAGACTTTTTTTTTTGTGGTTCTCCTCATGATAGACACAGTTACCAAATTTCAAATGATTATGTGAAATTGGCTGAGGGAGCTGAATTTTCAAAAAATTTCTGGGCTTTTTGTTGTTATTCGAGCTTTGTAATCAGCAGCAAGTCATACTTTGCTGCCACACCAAATGATGAAAATGTATAATTATTGCTGTTTTAATGTCTCTACACTGTCGAATATATCTGCTTCAAATGTGGTGCAATCAGGCAAAATTCCTTCCAGTAGCTTGTATCGAACATTGGCGACAACCAATTTTATCCGAAAAGGTGTTCTTGAAACTAAAATGGTCTTTTTGAGCATGTGTTCTTGAGACTTATGATATTTGCGAGTCTACTTATGATAGACATGCCAATCAAAATGAAGGTTGCTAAGTGAAACTAGTTTTGAGGGCTGAATTATTTTCTCCAAAATGGTAATTCATTTGGCCTAAAAATCACCACGACGGGGAACTGAGCCTGATGAAATATCTGAATATGTTTGTCCAAATAATATATTAGCCTTCTATGCTGTTTGCGAATTAAATTACTTCTTTCCCACACGCTGACATGACTCATTAGCTGATGGACTTGTTTAATGCCAAATCGATCAAATCCACGTCTGCCCCAAATGGGCTTAAGTCCTGATCGTGGCACTAATGAGTCCTCCGTTGGCGTCTGACAGCCGAGGTCAGTCCAGGATCAACAGACTTTGTGTGTGTCAGCCAAAGGTTTGATTTGTCTCTCGGAGCAACATCGCCGACAGTCATTTACCTTTGTGTCAGCCGTTGTGTCCGCGCGTATGCTACCGGCCGCCAAGTTGATGAGTCGCCCGTTTTTTTTTTTTTTTTCCTTACTTCTATAGACGTGCAGAGAGTGCTAGTGGCCTTTTCAAATGAGCCTCATAAAGACTGAACCTGACGTTCTTAAATTTTAGTGCCTGATGGGTGTCGTCGGTCTTTCACTCTGTCTGCTCATTTCTGTTCTGCAAAGTGGCAGTTATCATGACTACTCCAAAAGGTTAGGAAAGCCTGCCTATAAAATGAACGTCAGCCGTGTTGTTGCCCCGTCAGGTGGTGTTCCGAGCCAAGCGTGGGATCAGCTACATGGGCGACACGGTGATCGACGATGTCAGCTTCGTGGACTGTGCGCCTCCGCCGCCCACACAAGGGCCATGCGCCCCCGAGCAGTACACCTGCGCCAATGGTCGCTGTATCCCCCGGGACAACCTGTGCGACTTCATCGACCACTGCGGGGACGACTCGGATGAGGAACCCTATATTTGCAGTGAGTGGAAATCTAAGGACAGGTTAGGGGAGGGAGGGAAATGGGATTTTCTTTTACTGTCTCACCGTCTGTTTTTCAGAGGTGTTTAGCGGCCGCTGCGATTTTGAGTTTGACCTGTGCTCCTGGCGCCAGAGCTCGGAGGATGATTTTGATTGGCAGATCAAAGCCGGCAGCACTCCCACTCTCGGCACGGGCCCGTCCACAGACCATACCCTGAGGGATACCTCTGGGCACTACCTCTACCTGGAGAGCTCCTTCCCTCAAGTGGCTGGAAATGCCGCCCGCATCTCGGGGCCATTGCTGAGCCACAGGAGCTCCCAGTGCAAGGTCAGGCAAAAAATGGAATTATTTCAAATTGTTTTGTTTCTATTGCACAATGCACAATGACTTGCAGAATATTTTAACGTTATCCTAGTGAGCGCTTCCTGAAAAAGTCAAAGATTCAACAACTCTAATTGAAGGAGATAAATAAATCTGTCATATTAATTCATTGTTCATTTGACTTTATTTTAGTCCAAGCCTAACCGATAACTTGAGTCTGATATTGTTTATGCAGATTCAATTATTGCATTTGTTTGTTTCTTCTTCTCCTTTCGGCACATTGCATTTGTTTGTTTAAAAAAAAAAAATACATGGGAAGAGGACCTTGAAAACATGATCACATATTAAATCGCAATGTTGGGGGAAGTAAATTGCAATTAATTTTTTTTCAAAATAGTTCTATTGAAAAGAAGATAACATGCATTATAAAAAAAAATGCACACGCACACACACACACACACACACACACACACACACACACACACACACACACACACACACACACACACACACACTAGTCAGTATTAATTGCCTCTTGTGTCATCGCAGCTGTCAGCCTGTTGGCGGGAGAGATCGTCCGCTCGGTTCATCTGTCATCTCCCGCCCTCGACCTGTCAGTCAATTCGTCAATCACGCCAGCGGTTAAATTAGTGGGAGGGGGGCGGCAAACGAATCAGTCTGCCGTGGCTGACAGAAGCTGGTATAATCGCGCCTCTTCTGAGAGAAAGTCTTCCCGTGAAAAAATGGGTCCATACACCATAAGCAAGTTGTTTTTTTTTTTTAATGCTTTTGTTGCTAACGTCACAAAAAAAATCGGGACAAATCTGATGCATTATCATTTGGACCCCGCTTCAAACAAATTTTAACAAGCCAAAAAAAGTGCATTATCCACACAAGACAAATAAACACCTCATTCAAATGGATCCTCCTTTTTCTCTGTCCTTTTTCTCCCCCTCAAAAGTCTTCCCCCAAATCTGGAGTTGAGTAAAGAAATGCTCTCAAGCCAATATTTGCATAAATCTGGAATACAAACAAATCCTTCTTTTTGGTTACATAATGACAAATTACTAAATGCCTCCCCACAAATCGACCGCCCCAAATAAATCACTCCCTCTCTGTGCAGTTGAATAAATACATGATGCCAAGTAAATACAGTAAGCGACTTGGCCGCTATTTGCAGGAATACGCAATATCTGCACATTTTTTTTTTTTTTTTGTCTTGGTTCATCACCTCAAACAAAACAAAAAAATGAACACCTCCCCACTAATATGGATAATTATGACGTTTCCCTTAGATGCGCTTCTTCTTCCACATGTCCGGAGATGGCATCGGGGCACTGGGCGTGTTCCAGAAGAGCCAAGGGGGTCTTGACCTCCTCCTCAACCTGACGGGCAACCAGGGCAACTACTGGCAGATGGGGGAGGTCCCGCTGAGCCACGCCGAGGACTTCCGAGTCATTTTGGAAGGACGAGTGGGCCGAAATCCCAAGGGGGACATCTGCCTGGACGACATCACCTTTTCGCCAGGGTGCCTGCTCGCCTCCTCAGCCGTGATCGAGGACGACGCCACTCCCCCTCCTCCTGAAGGTACACTTTGCAAGGTCATTTCGAATGCTCCACTTCCGACATTACATCCTTATCTCTTTTGACGCGTTATATTCGCCCGACACAGGTCTTGTAATTGCTTTGCTGCCACCCTCCTCTAGGCACCTCCATTTGTCCAAGGAGCAAAAGGACACGTTTGGCAAAGCTTCTAAAAAGTTTTTTTTTTCTTTTCTTCAGCCAGTTTGACGATGTGTCCCTTGAGCAACACTTGGAATTGAGGAATATTTTTTGATTGCTCACATTTCTAACTATTTTATTAATAATTTTTAAAAAATCATATTTTAGATGTTATTTTTGTGCAGTGTATACATTTTTAACAGTATTTGCCTCCCTTCTGATTTCAGGTTTTTTTTAGGGTGATAGGTGGTTTTCAAATCCTCAAACCAATTTTAATGTCACTCTGAGACAACCCAAGGAAATACAAAATGAAGTTTGCAAATGACAATTCAATTTATGAGGGCACAAAAAAAAAATCCAATAAAATGCACCAAAAAAAAAAAAAAAAAAAGAAATCAGGAGTGGGGCAAATATTTTTTCACGGCACTGTATGCTCTATTTCTAATTTATTTTATCTGTGATATTGGATTCATTGAACATTTTTTCGACAATAAACATTTAAAAACGTTATTAATTTTTGTATTCTAATTCATTTTTTGTAGTAATTTGAAAAGTGAAAATTTTATTCATATTGTTACTGTCCACTTATTTTCTTTTTTTTTTTTAATTCTTCCTCAATTCTTTGTTTATATTTTATTCATTTGAGGCTTTATTTCTTAGATTTTTTTTTCAAATTACTTGTAATGTAATTACTTGTACTAGTTATATATATTATTATATTTTGAATGTTTTATATTGAGTGTTGAACTTTTTTTCTACTCCCCTCGCCAAGAGAGCCCTCGGTATAGTTTTAAAAATCAACTTTGGGAATCAGTCAGCAGAGCCTGAGGATGATGATGATGATGATGATGATGGAGGAAACCCATGCTGTCAATTTGGGAACTCAATTCCTTTTGTCCATTGCTGTGTGTTCTTTCTAGGCTTGTGTCCTCCGGGGTCCCTGCCTTGCGCAAACGGCCGCTGCTACTCCCCCGGCCAGAGCTGCGACTTCCGCGACGACTGCGGCGACGGCTCCGACGAGGAGAGCTGCGGGACATCCTGCTCCTTCGAAGATGGCCCGTGCGGCTGGAAGAACTCGCTGGCGGACAATTTTGACTGGTTGTTGGGAAGCGGCTCGGTCCAGAGCATACGGCCGCCGTACGACCACACGTTGAAGGATGAGAGCGGTTTGTTGTCCGGCCAGCGCCTCCTTGCAAGGCTGTTTTATTTTTTTTTTAGCTTCACATCGTAGCCCTTTTTTGTGTGCTATTATTTCCTTTTTACTTCTTCCTTATCTTTTCTCTTCCGTCCTCCATCTCTTTCTATGTAACGCCTTTGCCTTCCGTCTTACTTCCTTCCGTCTGTAGTAATATGAGTTCGATGCCAATCAAACATTGTCTATTCTGGCAGGATTATGTGACACTCATGAAAAACAAGCCTAAAATGTATTCTTTTTCTTCCTCAGGTCACTTTCTGTATTTAGAAGCCACACCAGTGGGACTGAAAGGCGACAAGGCTCACATCAGTAGTTCGCTGTGGAAGGAGTCCAGCTCCATCTGCAAGCTCTCCTTCTGGTACTACATTTCCCACAAGGCCTCGGGAACCATCCGCCTGCTCGTGAAAGTAAGCGTGTGTGAAAACCAAAACGTGAAGATCCTCCATGTTGAATGTTTTCAAAATTTACACAACATGGGAATCAGCTCATTGTACAGCTTCTTATTTGCTAATATTAACTTCTTGACTTCCTTCTTTGCTTTGATTGCTGATTGTATACGACAATGATTCCTTCCTTGCTGAATCCCTCGCTCCCTTCATTGCCGTCCACCTTTTTGTTCCACTTCCTGTGTGCTGATTTAACTTTCGTTACATTATTTGTTTCCCTTTCTTTTGTCCTTCCATTGTTTTGAGTCACGCTCTGTGTGCTTATGAAATCTGATTTCTTTTCTTTCTTTGCTCGTTCGTTTCTTCCATCTTCTTGTTCAACTTCTCGCCCATACATATTTCCCTTGTCCATTCCTTTCGATCTAGTCTTTTTTTTTTCCTTTTCTCACTTCCTTCGGTTATTTTGTTGGGTTTCTCGTGTCCTACCAACCTTTATTTGCTCATTCCTTCCATTACATCGTCCTTCCTTCATTGCTTTAGTGTCTTCGTTCCACTTGCTGGGTGGTAAGTTTACTCGCTTAGCACTTTTTCTTTTTTTTTTTTTTTTAAACCTTTCTTCTCTTCATTACATATTTTTGTTATACCTCCTGTGCGCTGATATCACTGTCTTGCTTTTCTTTCTTTTCCCCTTCATTCCTTTCATTTTTTTCAACTTCCTGTGTGGTCATATCACTTTCTCCCCTTTATTTTCTCCTTCCTTCCATTCTTGTTCCAGTGATCCCTCACCACTTTGCCCTTCTAGTTTTGCAGCTTCGTTTAAAAAAAATATTTTTTTTCCAACGTTAATCATAAATGAATAAATAAAATACAGCCATATCGGCACCCACATTGCGGGAAGACACAATCTCATCTTTGTTTCATGTTGATGCGGAGACAGAGGTTTCCCTGCATGCCGAGCAAAAAGATGACGTGACTCGGAGGCTTTTTACATGCCCACTCAAACAAGGAGTCTGATTGGTTCCCGGCGCGGCATCGACCAATGAGAGCACGAGTGGATTTTCCCCGTGAACTGTTTGGTAGCGTATCATCGCCAGTGTGTCGACTGTCTCGCTGATTGTATTTTAGTGTTGTGTTCGCGATCACTTTTTTTGTTTTAGCGATCACTTTTCCTGACGAGTAAAGCTGCACTCCAGCCCCTTGCTGCCCCCTGAAGCAATGAGTCCCAGCTGTGTGAGAATGTGTTCACCCGCTCGTCGGAGACGGCCCCATCAATCGGGACACATTGCTTTAACGGCGGCGGCAGGAGGAGGGGTAGGGAGGGTGTTTCGCAGCGTTGACACTAATGGCTCAGGTGAAGGCTGAAATGACAGCTGAAACTGTCAGCTTGGTAAAAGTTTCTTCACCCCAAAAAAAAAAAAAAGACTGTTGTCTGATCAAAAAGAAATCGAAAACCAATTTCAACTAATAAGAAGACAAGATGAACGTCATAGCGCTACCCACCACCGTACTTTTCTCCAATTAAAAAAAAAGGGGCCACGGGGGGTGCCGTAGCCTATCCCAGCTGTCTTCGGGCAGGAGGCGGGGGACACCCTGAACCTGTTGCCAGCCAATCGCAGGGCACACACAGACGAACAACCATTCGCGCTCACACTCACACATAGGGACAATTTCATATGTAAAGTGTAAATAATGTTTAAATAATAAACATGCGATGACATGTGATGATTCTTTTTTGCAACAACATCAATGATCAGACAGACAGCACGTAACTAGGCTGTTGTCAATTGCATGTCGTCTCAGAGCTTCACTGTGAAATTCCGGTTCACGTTTAACTGTATGCAAACATTACATACAAAAACGCGAAAATTCCTAAAGGAGGCAAATCCTTTTTCACGGTTTTTCACTTTTCGCGGGGGGTCGGGAACCAATTAACCGTTTACCTTTATTTACTCCTCCTCCTTCCGACAATACAGTTTATTCCTACCTTGTTCATTTCATCCCTCATTCCCTTTATTGCCATTCTCTTTTTGTTACACTTCATTTGTTTTTTTTAGCTCCATTCCTTCCCTCCATCATTTTGTTATTAGGTGTGCATGGCTCAAATTTGGTCGCAATTTCTAGGGGGAGTTCTCCTTTGCAAGAAGCTCAAATGGTCATGCCAAACCGAAATAGAATTTTTTTTTTTTTTGTCCTTGTGAAGTCAGATTTACTCGTACCACTTGTATTACGTCTCATTAGCGTATTTTACATGCACCAACAGTAAAGGCTTTCGAGCCATTGGCACTTAATGGATATTTCTTTCATACACGGCAGCTTGTAATATTTTGCAAGAGCAATGTTCACATGGTTTTCATTTCATTTTTCATGATGTGATTCTCCATGTAAAAGAAATATGGTGACAACTGTAGAGCGGCTTGTGGTTAATTGTGACAATGGATGAGTAGGTGGAAAGCCGCTTCCTCGCAGACATACTTTTGTGGTGGGCGTACAGTATTCTAGCCAAGAGGAAGCTGTCTTTTTTTTTTTTTAATGTAAAATTCTGTATGCAGGCTGTGCCCTTGTTAGAATGAGAGACTGCTTGTCCCATTTGTGTCTGAGGAAATGTAAAACGAAAGGAATCATACTGCACTGCGCCGTGATGGGCTTGTAAAATCCTTTTGTAATGCTAATCCTAAATGACCCTTGACCTCATCGAGTCCACCAATCAGGACTCTTTTAATTTCGAATTACCGGTAATGTCATCTTCCTTACTTCCACCTTTTTGTTTCACTTCTTTTGTCATCATATGACCTTCTTTGCTTCTTTCTTTTCTGTCTGTCTTTTCTTTCATTCCTCCCTTCACCCAGGTTCTTTTTTTGTTCCCTTATGGTACTATTACCTTCTTGACATCCTCCTTGCTGACTCATTCACTCTCCCCTACCTTTCTTTCTTCCTTTTGTGTTTTTCTTGGACTTCCTCCCTGACAAACTTCTTTTCACCTTGTGTTTAGGTTTTTGTGTACTTACTTACCTCCTCCTTTCCTTTCTATTTTCTCCCTTCCTCTCTCCCTCACTTTGTCTCCGCTTTCCTTTTCTATCTTTTTGTCCCATCTTCTTGTGTGCTACCTGTACTGTTTGCTATCTGCTTTAGTTCCTTCTTTGCTTTCTTTAGGCACATTTTGCTTTTCAGTTTTTCTTCCTCTGTCAGCCCTAGACTTTGTTCGTTCCTTGACTTCCTTTTTGCTAATATTATCTTCTTTACTTTCTCGTTACTGAATCACTCTCTGCCTTTCTCCCTTACATGTTTTTTGTTGGACCTCCTGTGCACATTTTTTGCCTTTCAAGTTGAGCTATTTAGTCAAGTCTCTTCCTTCTTTCCCTCCTACCTTCTCTTGCCTTCATTCGCTGTATTTCACCATATTTTGTTTGTAACTAATTATTTGCATACCGCTTTATGGCCTTATTTTATCTCCTCTTTCTGTCAGTCATTCCTTCTTCCATTCAGTCTGACTGTTTTTTTTTTTTTTTTGTTGCATCAATTCAACGTAATTAAGCATCTTCATAATAACGCTCTCCTCTGAACTCCAAATTGACACTGGGAAGACACGAGACGCATGACGCATGGCTGGGTGTGATGGCGTCTCCCCCAAAGCCCCACTCCGGGTCACATTGCTCGTTTGAACGCTGCATTAGTCACCATGTGGTGCCTGGCTGCTGCCATGGGAAAAGACTCGCGGAGGAATTACATACTTGGCATGCCTTTTAATATATTCCATATGCGGCATGAGAGAGGCAACGATAAACGAAGACAGTCTGAAAAGCGGCGGGAAGCTTTGAATGACCAAAATCTGTTCACGAGCACCTTCGCTGGATGAAGCCAGCTCACTACTTCTTGACCCCGTGCGGTGTGTTTTCGTAATGATCTTCTCTACCCAGACGGAGAACGCCATGTGGGAGGTGTGGAACAAATCAGGCCATCAGGGGAATGGGTGGAAGCGGGCCGAGGTGCCGCTGAGAAGGCTGAGGAACTTCCGGGTGATATTCGAGGGTGTGCGTTGGCGCGACGTGAGCGGGGGCGCCGCCTTGGACGACCTGAAATTCAAAGACTGCGCCCCGAGTGAGTGACGACGATGAGCGGCGTGAATGATGAAATGATGTTTGCGTTTATCTTCGCAGGCGATGCAACGCGGTGCAATTTCACAGCATGATTAGTTTAATGGGACTCGACGGGGAGGGATAAGAGATGTTTTTGATGTTGATGTTTGATGCTGCGCGAGGCCGCTCGCTGCGTGGCTCTGTCCAAATCTGAACATATTGCTAATTTCACTTTTTACATCTTCCTTTCCTTCCATCTTTTTGTTGTGCTTCCTGTGTGCTAATGTTTGCTTCTTTCTTTCCTCCTTCCTACCCTTTCTCTTTGCCTCTGTCCTTCCCCACACCGGCGCACACTCCCTGTCCTTCCGACCTCGCTACTTTGTTCTTTTCCTTATTGAGTCCTTCCTTCCTAAATCAGTCCCTTTCCCTTCATTTTTTTTCCACACTCCGTATTACCCACCACTTTCTCATTACTTTACCCATTACTTTCTTTACATCCTTTATTTACCCTTCCCTTCCTTCCTTCATCAATTTATTCCATTTCCTAATGAAGCTAATCTCACTTTGTAAACTTCTTGATCTCCTGTATTTACTTTGCCTTCCTTCCTACTTTCTTTGCTGTGCATTTTTACCTTCTTTGCTTCCTTTCACACCTTCCTTCCTTCTCTCTCTTATTCAACTTCCCGTATGCTACTATTACCCTTATTCCTTCGTTCACTCCCTTATTTTCTCCTTCATTCCGCCGTCAGCGCCTCCCGCCTCAGCACACACATATGCTGCCTGTTACAATGCTGTCTTCCTCCCAGCCTTAAATGAGGTGCAGCAAGCGGAAAGATGCTCCAAGCTCTCCCTGACAGGCTTTTGTCAGCTTTTTTCGACCGTTTGCATCCATCCGTGCGGAACGCAAGAAGGCTTTGTTTTAATAATGACGAACAGATGTGTGTGCATGTATGTGTGTTTGTGGGTGTGTGATATATCCATTACACAAAATTCATTCGTTGAGGGGTGCATGGGTGCTCAAACGAACCTTAGGGTCATATGTGCGTGGTGGATATATGGATACTCAGCCATGGTTTCCGTTGTGTTGTGTTTTTTTTCGGTATGAAAGTACTCAACAGTCCTAACAAACAACTGCAGTGGACATGAATTATTGTAAAATAAATAAAATTTTAGTCAGCTAGTAGTTGCAATTTTATATGCTCAAATTTTTTTTACCATTTTCTTAAACATTCCCCATCATGCATTTCCTCCCAGGTCCTGCTGAACCAATGAGCTGTCCTGAAATCACTGATTTTGTGTGCGACAGCGGCCACTGTGTCGAGTCCTACCTGGTGTGTGATGGCAAGCCTGATTGCGATGACCAATCGGACGAGTCAGACTGTGGTGAGCGGGCACGAAGCAAGTTTCACTTTTTAATTCTCAAGTGAATCCATTTATACTTTTACACGAACATTTAGACGCAGTGCTTGCCATGCCGGGAGCGTGTAATTTTGACGTGGATGACGGCCAATGGGAGGATAGGTGCCTGCTCGGCCAAGACACCGACGACGACTTTGATTGGAGGATCAGTCACTGCAGTGAAACAACGGGAGCTGGACCGACATCTGACCACAGTCCAGGTTGGCGACTCCTCTAGAGGGGCTCTATTTTCAGCACTGAACCAACTGTGCTATAAATACTGAATAATATTTCCGTTTTCAGCTCCTGTACCACCAATATGCAAACTGATTAAACACACACAATTCCCCCTGTAGACTGCCGTTGTGTGTGAACTCTGATTGGCCAGTTGAATTTGTTGATTGAATGTGTCATTGACCGATGAGCACAGGGCAGCGGATCAATAACATTTTCGAAATGAGAGGTCACACTGAGGCAACACGTAAACAATGGCACTCACTGAGATGAGACAAGAATCCATACAAAGTCCCCCTTTGTTTTTACCAGTCAGTCTACAAGTCTTAAACGTGGTATTCTAAAATGAACAACTTCAGTGTCCTTAAAATGTCAGAGGTCGTCCAACCTATCAATCTCCACCATGAACTAATTATTGTACCTTGCAAGCGAGGTAGCCAGCTACCTAGCTAGTGCGTCAGTAGCGACCTAGTTAATTTGTGTGTTTTACCTTTTAGCCAGCTAGCAGTAGCTACCTACTTGGGTTTTAGCGAGCTAGCTACTTACATGCTTCCTTAGAAGTTAATGAGCTTGTTAGGTAGCTTAATAAATCAAGTTATAATTTGATTGGTAGGTAGGTTTGTTGGTAGATCAGTGAGCAACCTACCAACTGACCAGCCTACCTTCAGTACCTACAAATTGTTCAGATTCTTCTCCAGCTCTGTCCTTCTGAATAACTTCCAACTAAATGGTAATTGTACACTGTGCCGCGCTGCATTTCTCTCCCAAAGGTGGAGGGGGGAACTTCCTCTACATCCACTCAGCCGTTCAGCGAGAGGGTGACGTTGCCAGGGTGACCACCATTAGTGCCTTTCCAGCCAGCGTGGGCCTGTGTCACCTGCGCTTCTGGTTCTACATGCACGGCTCAGACAGGATGGGAACGCTGAAGGTGGCTGTGCAAATTCATAATTAATGCTGTTTTGCTGTCATTTTGGAGCACAAGACTGTATTTTTAACAATCAACTTGTACCCGCAGGGAAGAATGAAAGACAGTGGCAGGAAATAATTGATCAAAGAATCCTCAATTTCATCTATTCATGTCTTTTTTGGGGGGTGGGACTGATTTTCAATAATAAACCAAAGAAATCCTGCTTTGACTGACAACCCAAGAGATGGACAGTGTTAGCCGCCCATAGCACTGTTTGTTTGTGTAGTAATGGTATTGTAAAGTCCTTGTACGTGGTGTGGGCAAGGAAAGACAAACAGTCAAACACCTAAATTCAAAATAAGAACCTTTGCAACGAACTGTTGGAGCCCACAACACATGTCCAGACGTTCACACATAGATGGACCTGCCAATTTCGGCCAACCTGACTCCAGCTCCTAACGTTGCTCACTCAGCCACGCCCCTTAAGGCACACATGAGTTTGTAATTATAATTAGTGATTTTAACTTAATAAAAACAAATTTATTTGTTTACACTCTCATAAAATGTAGTGCTATTGTGTACAATAACTACATATTTTAAAACATATGTGGTTGTAATTTTGACTCGTAACATTGCATTCAATCTGTGTTTGGAGGTGTTCACGGTCGGACCGAGTGGCACCCCACTGCTGATGTGGGCCTTGGCCGGAAACCAAGCCGAGGGGTGGACGTACGCCAGCGTCATCCTGTCCAACCCGGCACCTTTTCGAGTGAGCTTCCAAGCGGAGGTGGGCGGAGACATGTGGACAGACATAGCCCTGGACGATATCACGTACACGGCAGAGTGCGTGGGCGGAGGTGAAGGCTTTTCCAGTTGACTTGCTGTATTCAGCAACTGTAGCGACCTAATGCGCTCATTGAATTATTTCATTACCCTGTCTACTACCACCTACCTACATGCCTATTTATGTCAATAATATTTCTCATTAACCTCTCATTAACAAATGGACTGTCCAAATTAGCTAGCTCCCTACCGATCTACTTATCTCATTAACTTCCTCAGTTCATCAAATTCCCGTTCCAGCTAGCTTTCTAATTTGCTTTCCATTGAACTATCTAGTTTCATTAACCACTATAATCAGCCTACCTTCCTACTTGCCTGTCTACTTGCCTGCCTACCTACCTATTTCATTAACTTCCTGAATTAAGCTAGCTAGGAAGGTAGCTAGCTACCTACCTGCCCTCCTGTCTTTTAATCGACCTAGCTAGCTAGTTAAGTAGCAGGCTACCTACCTACCTATCTTTTCATCTATCGACCTACCTAACCCAGCCTCCCACCCATCCATCCGCAGCACCGGTGACTCCACAGCCTCTCACCTGCAGCTCGGAGGACTTCCGGTGTGTCCACTCCTTTCAGTGTATCCCCAGGAGCTGGCAGTGCGACGGTGAGTTTGACTGCTTCGACCAGTCGGACGAAGAGGGTTGCCCCACGGCCATACCGGGCACCCTCCCCCCGCAAGGCGGCTGCCCCACAGGCCACTACCAGTGTTCTAACGACGTCTGCCTCCCGGCCATACTGCGCTGCGACGGTGTCCCCGACTGCCCCCATGGCGAGGACGAGCACGGCTGCCGTATGTGTCACTAATGGAAATGACCCATCTTTTACGAGACAAAAAGTCTGGGAATTGTGCTGTTTTTTTTTTTTGTGTGTGTCTCCAGCATTGCTGCAGTGTGAACTTGGAGAACTACTGTGCGACACTTTGTCTGCTTGCGTTCCTCTTGAGAAGCGTTGCGATGGCTTTGCAGATTGTCTGCCTTTCCTTGCAGATGAGTCCAGTTGTGACGGTAATGGCCCAAACAGATTTTACATATGGAGACATCAACCGAAAGGAGACATCCATTCATTTATTTTATTTTTTTTACACAATAATCCCCGGCATATTCACTATTCACATTCAGTGGTATCTTAGCCCATTTTATGAGTTTAAATTTTAAGATTTGTCTTTAAGTATCTTAAGCCATACTTTAGTTATGTGATTGACGTCTGAGTGAAGATCCCTCACATTGTGGGTGCTTGTTAGTCTATGTCCTCTCTGCTTGTCAGTATCGAGCAGTTTTCTGCCAGATGTCAAGCATTTTCCCCTTTTCCTGTCTCGACCGCACTGACCTTTGACATGGAAGCTTAAAGTCTTTATCTTAAAGTTTATCTCCGGAGAGCAATCATCCAATTTGACCTTCAAATAACTACATTTGAATCATTTTGATGACTGCACTGCCATTCCTGTTGTTGCCAAGGCGATCCTTTTCAATTACTTAATATAAAATCGGTGGCTTAGCCATGACATCTCTCGGGTTGGAATAGCAGTAGCATTGTGTTCAGAGACTAAAACCATTTGACAATATATACTTTGGGTTAATTCAGTCAGAATTGAGCATCTTGCGTTGGTTAGCATTTTTGGCTGGAAGATTCATACATTTTGTTGATTAATTTGAGTTCTATGCTCAGGAAGGTATATTTGTTTTCTTTCTTTTTTTTTTTTAAACAGTTTGCAAGAAAAACATCCTGTAGCTGTGAACACTGAGGAGCTAGTTTACAAAACATTGTCAGTGTCGTCAACGTAGCCACTTTTATGACTTCTTTAGCCACTATTTGTTTGCTTTTGTTTAAACTACATTGTATGTCTACATTGTATCTTCAATGAAAAACAAACAAACAAACAAACAAATCAGGACATTTATAAGTGTTTCTAATAGTAAACATGTTTTTGAGGGATGTTTTGAGACATTTTTCAAGGAAGCCTCATATTCACATTATCTGTAAAGGAAAAATATGTATTTCCATTATTTCGGTGGCAGTTAATGCAAGTTACTGCTTGGTAAATTTTTTTTAAAAATCAGTTTAAAGATTTATTTGGTATCAGGAGAAATAAAGCAAATACCAGAAGGAGAAACAGAAACTTGTTTAAAATGTCATTAGCATTTGCTTCTTCTCCTTGCTCAGCCCTAACATACTTGATTTGGCTTGCCTTACTTATCTTTGTATCATTTAACACTCATATATTCTGTCTTTTTTGGTGTAATACGTTTCACAAGTTTAGGGCGTTCCCTAGGGGGTTTTATTCACAAAAAAAAAAAAATCCTCCTTACCGCTACCTTAAATGTGATGCGAGAGACCTGTTTTTCGTGGTGATGTTTGTAATATCCGAGAAATGAATCGCTGACATTTTAATATACATGCTAATGCTGTGTCGTATCCATGGCAACGGCAAATGCATACTTGCGGTTCTTTGTTATTGAAGAAGTGACAGGGGAAAAAAGCCATTTTAGAGAGACGGGCTAGGTGTATGGTAAAAACATAAACGTGAATTATTAATATTACCAGGTTGTCATCTTCACTTGTTTTTATTCTTTATTTATTTTGACTTTTAATGATGCAGATTGTCCTCACATGTACTGCTCGGGTCGAGGCTCGTGCCATGTGGAGGAGTACGGTCCTGTTTGCATGTAAGCAGCGCACGTACACACACACGCACACACTCAACAACTCACATTATCTTGCATGGTGAGACCCTGGACATAAAAATTCCATCTGTCTCACTCCGTGAAGCATGTTGGAACCTGTAAATTCCACTGGCTTTCTTCCTCTGCCAGGCTGAGCAGGTTCTCGCCTTTATTTATCCCGACTGTGCCTCAATGGAATTGTTGATGGATCCTGCTGGTCAATATATAAACACGACGCGTGCTTCTGGGTTGGCTCACTCTAACAATCCAGAAAGACGGTGCTTCTATATGCCTTCATTGTTGGTTTCCAAAATTAGGTATGCCTTCAATTTGTAATTTTTGCCACTGTAAGAACCGTGTGACACATTTTGCCTTCAACCCCTTCAATATCCTGATGGAATTAGCGCACCCACTTTTGACAAGTTTCTAAAGTGCTTTGTTTTTTTGAGAGTGTGTGAGGGTGCCGAAATTATCAGGAAGTTGAAAGGGGGTCTGTGTTTCATGCAGACTGTTAGCATTCTAAAGATTAGCCAGAGCATGACAGCACCCGTCCAGTGAGGCATGAGAAGTTCCCAAATTGCCATTGCAGGTCCACGCCATGTTATATGTTAGCATGCCAACTGTTATCATGTTAGCATCCTAAAGGTTAGCTTTAGCACTACAGCACCTGTCTAGTTAGGCATGAGAAGTTGTCATTTATTTACACACACTTCATTACAGGTCCACGTCAGTTGTTAGCATGCTAGAAGGTAGCATCATCACAATGTCCATTTTGTCCAGGTCATTACGGTGTTTTTCTGTCCACAGGTGTTATCTGGGCTGGACCGGCAACCGTTGCCATGTGAGGGCAAAGCCACCACTCTCCACTCCGACGCCACATGGGGTCCAGGACACGCAGCTGGGTAACAGTCCAACATTTTTCCACCTCTACATTCACACGGTCCAGTTAGAAAATAACAAATCCACTTGTGATCCACTATCTATTGCAGATGCGGTATACGCCGGGATTGCCATCGGGTTGTTCCTGCTGTTGGCCGGCGTTGGCGTCTGCGTTCTGGCTCTGTGCAGTAAGCGATGCCGCGGAACGTGAGTTGTGTTGCCGATAATGACTCCCATGTATTGTTTTTTGGGTTTTTTTATCGGGCTGCTTATAATAATAATGATAATGACGATGAGCTCCTTTGCTGCCTCCGCTGTAGGAAGCGCAGCCCAACTGACTACGGGATGATGGATAGCCCCACTTTCGACTGGAAGGCAGAGGTAACGTCTGATCCATCATTAGACAATTCTTCTGGGGCATCAGTGGTGTCCACAGTCATGCAAATTGCAATGCAGTAATCCCGGGCTTTTTGTTATCCCCGCTAATGTTTACAATGGGCTATATCATGTATAATTTAACCCTTTCAGGGACAGCGGTTACCACAGTGGACAGCTTATCATGTTATCAGGTTACATGGTGCACGAAAGGGTTAAACATACCACAGAAAAAAACCAATATGATTCCCAAACCACTTTGACATCATTTCAAATTCACGATACAACATTAACCTTAAAGAGAATAGTTTATAGATGATTTGAGTTCCCCCAAAAATGCACCGCAAATGCACATGTACACAGACCGGCGGCAAAGAAGCTAACAACCTCGGCTAAACGTTTTTTTAATGGGCTGTTCCATTCAATTTAATTTGAGACATTTGATTTTACCTCTCCCCATCAAATCCTCATCAACACTTAATTCCTTTTTTTGTTCTCTTTTTTTGTTGTTCATGCATTATTTCAGTTCCGCCGCCGCGTGACCAGGCGCAGCAACCGCAGTGGGGGTCTCTCCATCAGCGTGTACCCTTGGAGGAGGGAGTCGGAGGTGAACCCTTTTTTTTTTCTTCTTCTTTTTGTTGCACGTTTTCTCTGAATAGCAGATGTAAAATGGACGTGCTTCATCTTCTTTACTTAGCAGAGCTCGTCCAGGAGAGACGCCAGGCTGTCCTTTGCCAATCCGCTGTACAATCACCAGCATCATCATCATCATCATTATCATCATCATCTGAGCCCCAATGAATGAAGGAGCTCCGAGGCGTAAGCAGGAAAAAAAAAAAAAAGATGGACTAAAAGATGGACTACGCATATCGACGGCTGCTGTGGATCAGTATGCGAATATACCTTGAATTTTTTTTCCCAAGTGAGCAGATACATGCCTTGACAATCAAAATTAGAAACAGCAACGTGGATGAGTACAACAGTCCAGTGTATTTTTTGTTTGGTCACTTGTTAGGCAGAATTCACAGGACTTGGCCGTAAGCGCCCCAAAGGCCCATAAAAAAAATTCTAATGCACTAATTATTTTAAATGATGACTTCTTGAGGCTCTTGGTGCAGCAACAGTAGGTAGGTAGATGATCAGAATATTTTTTCCTGCTCAGTTGTTGCTAGGCAGAATTTGCAGAGTTCATTCACCGGACAATGACAGCATTGCGATGCAATAGTGTTATAAAAACATACCATTTCATATGCTTTGCACAGGGAGATTGACCATTAGCTTTTATTTTATGAAAAATGTATTTGATACGTATTAAAGGGACCTGTGACACTTTTGATCCTGCTCTGATTCAGATTCTCCCTGAGGCAAAGTTAAACTAGTCCGACAGATGGCACAAATGCAGGGTGACGTGTTGATAACAGGAGGATAGCCCCCCCCCCCCCGAAAAAAGACAAACTCAGCTCAGTGCTCTTTTGCATCAACCCGGTGACACTAGAACCAACGGCATTTGCTCAAAGCAATACAACTATATGCACCTTTATGCCAAGCTTGCACACTCGCGGGCAGAGATTACGAAGCCGTCATTGTTTTTGGTTTGTTTTTGTGTGTCTCTGGTGGCTTCAGCATTCATGCCTCTGAATGGCACGTAGCGCCAGCACAAGCTCTTTGTGGAAGTTGTTTTTGTGTTGTTGATGGGATCAGCTCACCCCGATGAGGGAGGCTTTATCGCCCCTGTTCAACCAGTTAGCCCCAACTGGGATGTGTTATAAATATATATCACCTTTCTCAGCTGGCAAGTGAAAGAATTACTTTGCAAGTTATCGCGACAGCAACATGCTTTATTTAATTGGACACTAGATTTTGTAATTGTATTTTATTTTTTTTGGAAAAGCTGTTTTTCCTTTTACCATTATTGGCAAAATAATACGTCATACCATAATAAAGATGAAAACACCGGTACTCACTTTAGATTTTTTTTTTTGTTAATATGCAAAGCTTAGGTCTTATTCATAATAATTCGAATCAACGTATTTTTGTTTTAAATATCACACGTTTCTCTATTTAACATGTTTGTTTTTTATACATCTTCATTTAGATAGCATTTTTATAACAGCTTATTTGAAACATTCAAAAATACATCACACAGCTTTATGCTTTTGCACCTGCGTCTTTCATATAGCCATATCTATAGATAAATGGATAGATAAGTGTGACGTTTGCACTGTGTAGGCACTGTGATGTCATTTTTAGTCAACAGCAAGTGGCAAAATGCTACCCTCTGCAATGGCTAAAAATGGGTTGGATTTTGCTGCTTTATTGATATTCTACAAACGTAATATTAATCATATATATCAATACCGTGTAGAAACGAATGAGAGAAAGATTTTGAAAATTTATATAATTTTTTTTTTTTTTTTTTACTTCCCCTTTAAAGGCGGCGTAGAAATGGCATGAAAGCGTGACCAATAGAAACCAAGATGATGCTGTAAAAACATAACTGATTATTTCACTTCAGTGTCATCCCCGCTGGCATAAATCTAAATACACCGAGCAGACGACCTTGTACAAGTGTTCGCTCACGGCGAAATGAGCTCAAGTGCACTTCGGGCTCCGATTGCCTCAATAGAACAAGATGAATTGACCGTGATTGGACGAGTTGGGAATGCTGAGACGAAAAGAAGCTTTCCCTTGAGTGATGAGCTGCTCCTCTCAGGTAAATACATCACAGGCCTTTGCCACCATTGTTCTCGGCGCTGATACATTTTTGCCATAAGGTGAGCGCTGATAAAATCGAGTTGCAAGAGCAAAGTAAGAAAGCCGGTGATGAAAACAGTGAAGACTTGTGAAGGTCATACTGCAAGTGCTGGGTAAAACTTTACACACTTTCAGTCATGATGATGAACAAACTCAAGTGTTACATTGTGAAGAGTTGACGTCACATTTTCATTTTTTTGCCATATTAAGGTTTTAGTTTCTAAGCCTCTTTGACTGTGCGAATGATGAACAATCAAATTTGCTTCAATTGCATTCAAGGCTATGTAAAGTGACAAAAAAAATGTCTGATTGAAAATTCAATTTTTTGATCCCACATTTAGCTGAACATAGACTTATACAATCTTTTGCAAGCATTTACATTTTGATTTTTGTCCAAGTCCATTCGTCATAGCCATCTGGTGATGGCACAACTTTTCCCCCTGTTGAACTAATGCAGCAATATTTCATACTTTTAACTAGTGGAATGCCAAGTGAGTCATATTTTATCTTGAATAATGATTTGTATGTCGACATTTTATTTTTTTAATTATTGTTGATGTTTGGCGGGGGTTTTCTGGCGTATTGCCCAGCAAAAGACATTTAGCAGCCCATTAAAGGATTTCGGTGGTTTAGGTGGAGTGCCAGGGGAATTTCCACATCTTTTACCGTTTCAGCGACATGCTTTGCGCTTGATGTTACATGTCAGTCCATGGAATGAATTCAATAGTAGTGTGGTTAATATTTATGGATAATTCAGGCTAAAGTACGCTTGACTTGTGGAGTGAAAATAAAAGATTATATAATATTTTCAAGCTGTTTTGGGGGAAGGTGACATTTTTTGCGGTTAGTCATGTACAAGCGAGGATATTTTAAGGCCCTCTCAAGTGTGAATATTTGATGGCAGCAGCCAAGTGATTTATAAAAACGCTCCTTGATTTTCTCATCTTTTCCGTGACCACTCCCAAAATTTCCATTGTGGGTTGCATCTTAATTGGTAAGTCATCCTCCCTGTAAGGGTGGCATAGGGAACACCATGGCAGGTGAAGGGGAAAAAACACCCAACGACCACCTCCCTCCCATGTCTGGCCGCCTGTGAGGAAAACACGCATAATGGTGATGTCATGGTGTCAACACTGCAGCACTTATACCTGTTTCAAGGTGACCATAAACTTCTGGCGAGATATCAAGAATGTCCAAAATAAGAAAATGTTTATTATACCGTATTTCGATGCTTGTGGAGGCTCTCAGTCGTACAGGAAAGTTCCATCGTAGAAAGGGTTCCGTCAGTCGTCATCTGTACCTGTGGGTAAAAAACAAAAAACAAAAAAGGATGTTTCACTTCTTCGCAGAGCAATTTCCCGGAGTCTTCACGGAGACTTCAGAGTTGTCTACCGCTGACGAAGCTTCTGTGAGAGAAGCGAAACGTCCTTTTTTGTTTTTTGTTTTTTATCCACAGGTACAGATGACGACTGACGGAACCCTTTCTACGATACAGTATACCATATTTCGTCATAGAATTTTTGCACTAGTAGGAGTTTTAAAATATTTTCTCTTTCTAATAGCTTGGCTGAAATGATAACTAACTAAAAAAAATTAATCAGTCCTTCCAGCATTTCATACTTTTAACTAGTGGAATGTCAAGTGAGTCATATTTTATCTTGAATGATTTGTATGTCGACATTTTATTTAGAAATACTGGGCCATATTAGGACGCCCCCCTCAAGCGCAATCAACATCTGCTCTGGCGTTTTAGAAATGAAATCTGTATTTGTGAGTGTAACTTCAGAGGGGCATTAAATATAATATTCTTTATCATTGCACACAGCTAGCTAGCAAGGTAAACAGACAGTTAGCATCGCAATCTTGATAGTATCTCACTTGTCCACAGTATATCTCAGGTTAAATAATGTTCATTATATCTTGATATTTGATGACATTTCTATTCATTTGTAACTTCTCTGTGTGTGGTAGCTAGTGAGTAATTAGCTCAGTGAGATAGAGTAGATTTATAGATGTTTTATTTTGTTTTTACATTTTCTTTGTCACTACCGTAATTAGCAAGCTTAGCGGGTGACAGATATTTATGTAGAAATAGAAGGAGATTTCATAACATGTTTTGACATTTTCCTTAATTTGTCATTTCACTAGCATAGTTAGCTTAGCGATAGCCGAATACACGAATGATGGTAAAACGTTCGTCTTCCAAGTGTATTCACGCAGCATCCCAAAAGACGCCATTTCATTGGCTGCAAGGGGGCGGTGACATCACACGCGCACTTTTTTTCCTCCAGGAACGCAAACACTGAACCTCAGACACACGCCGAAGCACACCGGGAGAACAATCCCCGATGCGTTCAACTTTCACATCTTGTTCCATTTGAATATTTCATTCCGATATTTTTGTTCTTTCTTGTTGGTTCACTTTGGAGGCGGGGGACGCGCACTTGTGTGGGAAAAGGAAGCACCTCCGCGTGGAAGACAAAGCAGTTTCTTTTTTTTCTCGTTTATATTTCTTCAGCAAGACCAAGGAGAGAGTTGCAATATTCCGCCGCGTCGGAGGAGTGGAGCGGTGGATAGAGGGGGGGCTACGAAGACGACCACCTCACGGATATCTGTGGACATGGCGCTGGAGAGGAGACTGGACCTGCTCCTTGGACTTGTCCTGCTTGTGCAGTGTGTGTACGACGCCGGAGCCCAGACCGGTAAGAACCAACACCAACCATCCCGCCTTCACATGTCGACCTACGAAAATTTACTTTCTACTTGCACTTTGCTGACTCAAAGTGACATACATAGGTGGAAAAAAAGAGGATGTCATAATCACTCATGCGGTCTCACGTTATTATTTTTTCACACTACTACAGCCCATATTTATGTGTAAAGGATGTCATAATCACTCATGCGGTCTCACGTTATTTTTTCACACTACTACGGCCCATATTTATGTGTAGTAATCCCTCCTTGTGTCCTGGTTAAATAGAAACAAACACAATCGGGAGCTAAGTTAATGGAGGTGTTGGAAAAATATTGGAAAGAAACAAAAATATGGCTATGATTAACTTCATAAATCACGCGAGCACTCAGCAATTAACTGACTTCGTAATTCGTGGCCTGAATTCATAAAAACAATGTAATTATCATGCGCTATGAGCATTCGTGGCAGCACGTTGGTTTGTGTTTGGCTTGTCAGCATTGCAGTGGAGAGGTTCGAGGGTTGAATCCTTCCTTGCTGTCACATTGCCAAAACATGCTCGCTGACTACTTAGAATTTTCCATCGGTCTGAATACCATTAATGTAATTATTGTGGCAGCATAGTGTATAGTGGTTGGCCCGGCTGCCTCACATAGAGGTTTTGGGTTTGACTCCCTCCTATGTGGAGTTTTCATGTTCTGCCTCTGGCTGAAAAAACAGCAAAAAAAAAAAAAAAAAAAAAAAAATGGATGGATGTTTTTGAGGTTTTGGGTTTGACTCCCTCCTATGTGGAGTTTGCATGTTCTGCCTCTGGCTGAAATAACAGCAAAAAAAAAAAAAAAATGGATGGATGTTTTCAATTTTTTTAAATTACAGTTATGAGATTTTATAAGCACCCAAAAGTGCATACAACACTGCAGCTCTGCATCAGTTTAGGTTTTGATGTGATAGTGCTCCTTTGTAGTACAGAATCCGACAGCACTGCGGCTCTA